GACGAAGTGTAGGGTGATTGGTAAGTCCTGAACTGTAAAAAGCACAGCAGAAAAAAGGGTTGCGTAGGATGGGAAATTAAAAACCTAATTTGTTAAAAAAAAATATTTTTTTACAAAAAAAAAAAAAAGTTTATTTAAGATATGATCAGCCGCTACGCAGTTCTAATGATCGATAAATTAAGAAATGTGTCGTTCATGTAAATTAAAACAATTAAATCTTTAATGATGAAACTTTGGTAGCAATTAAGTTTTAAATTACATTCTTTGCCTTTTTTAAAAGGTTTTATAAAAAATCCCCTTAAGATGCTATGAAACTTAAAAAATCGTCAGTCTAATCAAAATTGGACAAATTTTGACTGGGCCATTGCTTTTTTTTAACGGCTGCCCCCAGTCTTAAATTTCCCTTTTTTTTGGGGAAAGGGGGACTTCTCAAAATTGCCAAAAAAAAATATTTTTTCGTTGTTTTTTTCCCTCAAAATGAGTTCAAAGTCTGCAAATTTTCAATGGATTTGGATATATCAAAGGGTTTCAGCCCTTTTTATCGACTTTTGGGTTTTTTTGCCTCTCAAAAAACCCCAAATTTTAAACAAAGGGTAAGGGGGGCAGAGTCCCCCTTTAAACCCTTCAAGCCCCCCCCCCCTATTTATTTTAGGGGGGCCCCCAAATTCACTTTTTAAAAACCTTTTTCCCCAAAAAAAATTTGGGGCCCAAAAAATATATTTTTACTGTTTTGTCTTCTCAACTTGTCTTTGTATTTAATTTTACTAGTTTGTCTTCTCACCTTGTTTTGATATTATATTTTACTGTTTTGTCTCCTCAACTTGTCTTGGTATTTTATTATACTGTTTTGTCTCCTCAACTTGTCTTTCTTTTATATTTTACTGGTTTGTCTCCTCAACTTGTCTTGGTATTATATTTTACTAGTTTGTCTTCTCACGTTGTCTTGACATTAAATTTTACTGTTTTGTCTCCTCAACTTGTTCTTCTATTATAGTTTACTGATTTGTCTTCTCAACTTGTCTTGGTATTATATTTTTCTAGTTTGTCTTCTCACGTTGTCTTGACATTATATTTTACTGTTTTGTCTCCTCAACTTGTCTATATATTATATTTTACTGGTTTGTCTTCTCACGTTGTATTGGCATTATATTTTACTGATTTGGCTCCTCACGATGTCTTGGTTGAGGAGACAAACCAGTAAAATATAATTTTATATTTTTTATATAATTTTACTCTTTGTCTTTTCAACTTGTCTTGGTATTTTATTTTACTGTTTTGTCTCCTCAACTTGATTTTCTATTATATTTTACTGTTTTGTCTCCTTAACTTGTTTTTCTATTATATTTTACTGGTTTGTCTCCTCAACTTGTCTTGATATTATATTTTACTGTTTTGTCTCCTCAACTTGTCTTTCTTTTATATTTTACGGGTTTGTCTCCTCAACTTGTTTTTCTATTATATTTTACTGGTTTGTCTCCTCAACTTGTTTTTCTGTTATATTTAACTGGTTTGTCTCCTCAACTTGTCTTGGTATTATGTTTTACTCGTTTGTCTCATCAACTTGTCTTGGTATCATATTTTACTGGTTTGTCTCCTCAACTTGTTTTTCTATTATAGTTTACTGGTTTGTCTCCTCAACTTGTTTTTCTGTTATATTTAACTGGTTTGTCTCCTCAACTTGTCTTGGTATTATGTTTTACTCGTTTGTCATCAACTTGTCTTGGTATCATATTTTACTCGTTTGTCTCTTCAACTTGTTTTTCTATTATATTTTACTGTTTATCTCCTCAACTTGTCTTGACATTATAATTTACTGCTTTCTCTCCTCAACTTGTCTTGGTATTATATTTTACTGTTTTGTCTTCTCACCTTGTCTTGGTATTATATTTTACTGGTTTGTTTTCTCACGTTGTCTTGATATTACATTTTACTGTTTGTCTCCTCAACTTGTCTTGGTATTATATTTTACTGTTTTGTCTCCTCACCTTGTCTTGGTGTTTTATTTGATTGTTTTGTCTCCTCAACTTGACTTGGTATTATAATTTACTGGTTTGTCTCCTCAACTTGTCTTGGTATAATGTTTTACTGTTTGTCTCCTCACATTCTCTTGGTATTATACCTTACTGTTTTGTCTCCTCACCTTGTCTTGGTGTTTTATTTGATTGTTTTGTTTCCTCAACTTGACTTGGTATTATAATTTACTGGTTTGTCTCCTCAACTTGTCTTGGTATTTTATTTGATTGTTTTGTCTCGTCAACTTGACTTGGTATTATACTTTACTGTTTTGTTTTCTCACCTTGTCTTGGTATTTTATTTGATTGTTTTATCTCGTCAACTTGACTTGGTATAATATTTTACTGGTTTGTCTCCTCAACTTGTCTTGACATTATAATTTACTGCTTTTTCTCCTCAACTTGTCTTGGTATTATATTTTACTGTTTTGTCTTCTCAACTTGTCTTGGTATTATATTTTACTGTTTTGTCTTCTCACCTTGTCTTGGTATTATATTTTACTGGTTTGTTTTCTCACGTTGTCTTGATATTATATTTTACCGCTTGTCTCCTCAACTTGTCTTGGTATTATATTTTACTGTTTTGTCTCCTTACCGTGTCTTGGTATTATACTTTACTGTTTTGTTTTCTCGCCTTGTCTTGGTATTATATTTTACTGGTTTGTCTCCTCAACTTGTTTTTCTATTATATTTTACTGTTTGTCTCCTCAACTTGTCTTTGGTATTATATTTTACCGGTTTGTCTCATCAACATTTCTTGGTATTATATTTTACTGGTTTGTCTCCTCAACTTGTCTTGGTATTATATTTTACTGGTTTGTCTCCTCAACTTGTCTTGGTATTATATTTTACTGGTTTGTCTCATCAACTTGACTTGGTATTATATTTTACCAGTTTGTCTCCTCAACTTGTTTCTCTATTATATTTTACTGGTTTGTCTCCTCAACTTGTTTTTCTATTATATTTTACTGGTTTGTCTCCTCAACTTGTTTTTCTATTATATTTTACTGGTTTGTCTCCTCAACTTGTCTTGGTATTATATTTTACTGGTTTGTCTCCTCAACTTGTTTTTCTATTATATTTTACTGGTTTGTCTCCTCAACTTGTTTTTCTATTATATTTTACTGGTTTGTCTTCTCAACTTGTCTTGGTATTATATTTTACCGGTTTGTCTCATCAACGTTTCTTGATATTATATTTTACTGTCTTGTCTCCTCAACTTGTTTTGGTATTATATTTTACTGGTTTGTCTCCTCAACTTGTCTTGGTATTATATTTTACTGGTTTGTCTCCTCAACTTGTCTTGGTATTATATTTTACTGGTTTGTCTCCTCAACTTGTCTTGGTATTATATTTTACTGGTTTGTCTCCTCAACTTGTCTTGGTATTATATTTTACTGGTTTGTCTCATCAACTTGACTTGGTATTATGTTTTACTGGTTTGTCTCATCAACTTGTTTTTCTTTTATATTTTACTGTTTTGTCTCCTCAACCTGCCTTGGTATTACTTTTTACCGGTTTGTCTCGTCACATTGTTTTGATATTATGTTTTACTGGTTTGTCTCCTCAACTTGTCTTGGTATTATGTTATACTGTTTTGTCTTCTCACCTTGTCTTGGTATTTTATTTGATTGTTTTGTCTCCTCAACTTGACTTGGTATTATAATTTACTGGTTTGTCTCCTCAACTTGTCTTGGTATAATGTTTTACTGTTTTGTCTCCTCACATTCTCTTGGTATTATATTTTACTGTTTTGTCTTCTCACCTTGTCTTGGTATTTTATTTGATTGTTTTGTCTCGTCAACTTGACTTGGTATTATATTTTACTGGTTTGTCTCGCTTGTCTTTCTATTTCCTTTTTAAATTCAAAGTAAGTTAAGACGTTCACTATAGTTTCTGCATTTTTGACATTGTCAAATAAGAAAAAAATCAAACACTATAGTGAACATAAAACTGTGTATGATTAAATCATAATTGAAACAACTTTCTGGAAAGAATACTAATGGTCTTACTTCTTTTGTTATCTGTCACTTAAAAAGTCAGTTTTTTACACTTTTAAATCATTTTCAAGAGGAGCAGATAACTCAAAATGAACCATCGACATCTCATTATATTTCAAACCATTCTTTGTCATTTTCCTGTCAGTCATCATACAAAGTTTAAAACAGTTCTATTAAATATTTTGTTATGCTTCAATGAGTAAACTTATTGCAATTATCTTCAAAAAGAGGGGCATAACTTGAATTAAATATCGCCTAAACAACTATAGAATAAAATTGGTTGCAGAGAATTTGAGAAAATATTGCAAAATGCCATGGAATAAATAATAAATACTAATCAAATGAGGTGTTGTTTGCTACAGTTCTGAATAATCTGCTCGTGGAAGTGACCTAAAACCAAAAAAAAAATCACACTTTCAGATGCAGACTACTCAAGTAGGACCGTGTACCCCAGTTTTTAATTAACAAATTCTTCATGATTTTTTTTAATTATGTTGAAATAATCCGCTTACTAATTTAAATTTTCATTCTTTGTCTTTAAACTAAAAGCGTCTTTAGTTAAAACCTGATAATAATTACATGTAATATGAATTTTGCTAATCTTTACTTTTTATAACAATATTATCACAACTTTTTCTACAAAACATGAATTTCAGTACATTCAAAGCGACCGAAGCATTACCAAAGGATTCCGAAAAAGCATTATTTTGTTTGTAACAACTTTGACTTTATAATATTATTTGCCAATGATTTACAAGAAAATATAAACACTGCGAACAATTGGCTGTAGACTGTAGACTATTGGTATCTGTATGTTTATTGGATATCCAAGACTTTATTGTCTCTAAAAGCTGGGGGCATCTTATTATAAAAACATGCTCAGTATCGTGAGAAAACACCCGTCTCTGGACTGCAGTTGTTTAGATAGTCTGTCTGTAAATAATAATAGTATATTTATTTTTGAAAATTTTAACGAACTTTACTTAAATTACCGGTTGTTAAAATGGATTACACATCCGCACATCCAATGTCGACGGACGTTAGTTGGTTGAGTAATGACGACTTTAATGGTAGTACAATCATACCGGTTATGACAGCAAATAGATCCTTGGCTAACTTAATTCAGGACAAAATGAATACAGCTCAGTACTTCGTGTGTCCGACGTTATTTGTTCTTGGAATAGTTGGTAATATACTGACCATTTTGACAGTTTCACAAGTGCAATTTCAGCAGATGACTTCTCGCTTTATATTGTTGGCATTGGCGGCATCGGATTCTCTTCTTCTCTTAACAAATCCCTTTAATCAGCAATTCATGCCGGCAATTTTGGGTCTAGATGTAAGAACACTTTCTAGCGAAGGATGCAAACTGTTTTTCGTCATGTATCGAGTTGGAAAAATGTCGTCCTCTTGGTTTATTGTTTTGGTTGATATTGAACGTTTTGTCGCAATACTGTTCCCGTTAAAAGTAAAGCGTTTGATTACAAAGACGACTATTTTGATTGCTATAGCTATTATTTATGTTCTTATGTTTACCATTTCCGGTGTTTGGACAATATCCACTGGTATAGTAAACGGGACGTGTAGAGCAGATGTCGTGAACACTAACACGCTAAGTGTACACAAATCTTTCCTCATCGTTGGTGCAACTTGCTACTCTATCGCTCCAATGGCCATTCTTCTGACCTTGACACCGCTCATTGTTCTCAACCTGTACCGCAGTCAACGTATGCGACATAATTTACAGCTACAGAATATAGCTAGAACAGCGAAAGATACATATCGAGTTACAGTTATGTTGGTTGGGATAGTGATAACATATATAATCTGTGTGACACCAATCACTCTTCTACTCATTCTAACATTTTGGACCAACGAGCCGATTTACGGATCAACTAAGATAGAATATATCATATTTTCCGGGGTCGCCTCCACATTTGAACAAATAAACCACTCAAGTAACTTCTTCGTGTATGTTCTATGTTGCCGCCAGTTTCGACAAGGATTTCTCCATATGATGAGATGTACAAGAAAGAATGTAACTGGTACGGGAAGTTCTATAAACGTTTCATATATTGAAAAGGGATTGGAAGTATACGATAATTAGAAGACAAGGGAAGCACAATGTAAATACGACAAAAACTTTCGTGTATGTGTTTATGTTGTTACACTGATTTTCCTAGGCTTTAGTGTATATGATTTGATAATATATTTCTGCAGTAGTACAAGGCAGGATTTCTGAAACTACACAAATATGTGCTAATGTGTCGCTTTAGAATTTTAACACTGAATCGAACATAAAATAAATGCAGATTATATTTAAAATGATTACAGGTTTACACAATGTGCACATTTTATAAGTGAAAAAAGCACGTCTTACTACTTATCATAGACAAGTCGGAATAAATCAAACATAAAATAAAGTCAACGATAAGGATTATTCTAAATATAGCAAATTTGAAAGTCTCATCTAACAAAAATAGAAACAATATTAAACGAAACATTTTTACATTTATTTTGTTCTTTAAAACTAGTGATGTCAGCAATATATCATTGTATCAAAGGTGTTTGTGTCAATTAGGAACAAACATATTTACGACGTAATTGGATATACAAAAATGTATGTTGTCTATATTTTGATCCACGCCAAATATTTACTGTACTGCCATTTCATTTGTCAATCTTATAATGTGTTATCACGTTTTTAGATCTTCTTAAATTAATTTTGTAAAAATGAACGTTTTATATTAAACATTTCGCTATCTCTACATTATGGCTTACATTTACGTATTAATTGTAGTTCATCCTCATTAAAATAGTAGCACTAGTTAAGAAATATTGTTAACTCACTGTGGCATTGTTATTGTTGATGGTTAAATATGTACGTACGATGATGTCCTTATTTGAATAAAGTTGTTGTTCTGTTCTGTGTACTGTTTTAACTAAAAAAACTAACTACTAAGGAAGCATATTTTATGTATTAAAAAGTAACAATGCGCACATGTATTTACTTAAATGAAATATTATATTCAAACTCATTGGCTTTAAAAGTGTGGTACAATGAAGTCTTCTCAGTTAAAATTATGTCCAGTAATGTCCCTGAATAATTCAATAACAAATTGAACATTCAAAACTTGCTTCAATAGTTTTAATAGTTACAATTATCAACATTGATGCGCTGATGTCGCAACGCCGCTAAATGTCACACTTACCGCTAAATGTCGCACCACTGCCGTTAACTGCCGCAACTGCCACTGAATGTCGCAAAATAGTTTGCCGTTAAATGTCACAATGGTAAAGTTAAATGTCACAAAATTTAATTCAAGTAACTTGTGGTTTTATGTCAATTTTAACATTACATTGTATGTGAGTAATCTCGGGACAAACTAGCTATCGTATAGGAAAGGATTTGCTGTGGTATCTAAAGTAATTGGTTGAAATTGAAGTTATCTTAGTCGGTATTATAGATTGACGACTAAATTAGTACCAAAAATGTTCCTTGGTGATTAAACACTTTTGTAAACGTTTTTGTCTCTCGCCAGTAAAAGAATATTTTTATGACAGGTTTATGCACATAAATCATCTGCATAAGCATAAATGACTGACACTTTTCCATATTGTCCTTACCTGGGCTGATGCTTAAAAAAGATGATAACATATGTCAAACATAATATCATTCAAATTTTTATTGTAGCTACTTTGATTGACGATTTTTTTCAAATGGCAAAGAGCGACGAAATTTAAATTGTTGCGCGTCATTTGCCAACGCAATTTCGATAATTTTAGTATGTACGGATTCTAGTAGCAGTTGGATGAAAAAAGTCTTGTTTTAAAAGGTTCTTTAGTAGATAAAAAGTATTCATTTGGCAACATTTCTTTCTTTTAATCACTATATTCCGAAGTATTTTCTTCTATTTTATTGCAACAAACGTCACTTATCAGTTACATATAATTTATTTTAGTTTAATATATATATTTACGTACATACGACGTAAGAATTATAAGATTGGCTCGTTTTGAAATTTCAATCAGATTTTATTTGCACTCACTATCAATGTCTTGGATAAGTCCCTGGTACAATTTAGACATTGGGCGGTTAGGACATATGTGTTTGAATTAATTTTGCATGTCTCACCATTAAGCTTTTGTTTAAGGGAAAGCCTAGGCCAAATGGGTATGGCCATTCCTTTTGTTCATAAGTGACGTTGCAGCAAGATGACTGCATCATAACTTGATCTAATTTTATTTGTAAGTTAAAGTGTATATGCACCAAGTCACATAGTACATTTTGACTTTTCTTTTAATGACGAAAGACAACATTTTTTCAAATGTTTACACTTTTCATTTTCAATTTTAACATATTTACTCCAATAACTAATGATGAAAAAATCTTTAATAAAATGTAGCCGGTAAGTACATGATATATTTTCAAATTGACCTTAAGAAAGCCTTTTCGAATGAAATACAAATTAAAGGAGAACATTTAATGGTGATTCATCTGAAACTGTAAAATCCTGTATCCATTTCTGATAGTTCACACACACACACACACACACACACACGCACACGCACACGCACACACGCACGCACGCACGCACGCACACACACACACACACACACGCACGCACGCACGAACGCGACGCGTACACCGTAGATGACTGGATTATAATTTAAGTTGATTTTATTGGGTCTTGAGATCATCAAATATGTAAAGTGTGCTCGATAAGTTATTTACAAAAGATTATTAATGTGACCTCTGTTAAAGTAATTAATGTGGTATCCAAATTGTAGAACCCTATTTATAGTGCAATGCAATATTAGCAGTCACAAACAAAAAATGGTAGCTGGACACTATAGTATACTTATAAACTTACATAAGTACGCACAACAATATAATTTATAGTATTACAGGCACATGCTATAATTTACTCAATCGCTTTCAAAGAAAAAGAACATTTCACAATTGAGTCGGGTAAAGTCCCAAAGTGACCTTACTACACTCATTTAATCAATGAGTATTTAATACAATACCACTGTACAATATCACAATATCATTATCAACAAAAATGTTTCCGTGACGGATATAACAACATGTAAGAAACATGTGTTACAAGCATCAATATGACGGTTTTTATAAATAACATAAAATGCATAGTATGGTATACTATGTTTTTATTGAAAAATGTTTAAAATTAGCACGGAATAGAACTGAATGCATGCAAATTCATGATTAATTATTTGAATTTCTCTTAGTTATAGCAAAATGAACAAATCTGTTGCTTTAGATGATTGCCTAATTGATGTCGATTTATTGATGATTAGTCAAAGACAATATACAGTTATCAGTTTGCTTTAAAATAATTAAAATAATATAAAATATGATAGATCTACTCATATTTTATTTAAAGTGACACTGTGTCCATCCAAGAGTAAATGATGAGTGTTCCGGTAAAATTTAAAAAAAACTTTACATTTTTCATAGTTAGTTTCAATTTTATAATAAGCGCCATTTGAATGGTGAATAGTCACGTGACCACATAAATATCTATAAATTTCCTTTAGAAATTAACTGTAATGTTCATTTTACAGTCTTTAATATAAAACATTTGTCATCAGTCGTCATTATATATTTATATTTTCTTCTTATGATACACTTAAAGAAATATGACCAAATAAGAAATTAATTCAGGGAAATAGCACTCCTAATGCTTGGTTAGATAAAGCTTTTTATTATTGTTCCAAAATTCCCGGCAATGCCAAGAAAAATAAGTTAATAATTTGACATGATTTATACAATCGGAAACCATTTAGAAGGTCTTTGAGGGATAATGTTGTAATTATTAGACGGTAAAAGATGAAAATCTTCAAATGATCCGCATATATCTTTGGAAAGGTCAATAGATATCTCTACACTATTGACGGTGATTGCTGGCGGCTTCAAATGGAAATTAATGACCATATTTTGCGCTAGCTTTGCTTCAAAGTACGGATTTAATTAAACGAAAAAGTTCCTTCTGGCGTATTCGATTCCGCATTTTGTTGTTAATGACAGGAACTTTATCGTTGGTTAAAGAAAGTTGGTGAGAGAAAAGCCGAGAAATCATTGTCCAAAGGTTTAGAAGTAAGCATCCATTAAAAAATTCGTTCGATAACTTCAAGTTACAAATCAAATTGCCTTTATACGAGCAAACTTTTTTTTCTGCTAGGGTTTTGCATGGTAAAGAACTACGTGATAGTATAGATATTGTCAAGTTCCAAAAGGATAATAAATCGTTATAAAACTACCGTATATATGGCATGGTAAACGTTGCAAAATTCAGTAAGCATATTCAATAATTATAATGTACAATTTTAATTTTAAATTCTATCACCTATCATTTATTTAATCATTCGGAATATTTGTTCATAAAAATAAATATTTGTGTGAAATAATGTTCCATATATTTGGGTATTGAAAATATTTATTCGATAATTTGAATCATGGGATAGAGGCACAATTTTCTTACACGAGATTTAATTGGTTAATTAAATAAAAATGGATGCGTCCTTAGCGCTAAAAACCAAACACCAGCGAAGGAAGATTCGTAAACATTCGTCATTTAACGTAATGTGTCGGTACTAAATCTTTAACATAATATCATGATTATATAACGAAATAAAAAAATATATGGAAGAAAGTAAATATTTTATTGTAGGTATATGTGTTACCCTATAGAGTTACAATGAAGTACAAAATTCCTCGTTTCCTTCACTTTACTATTTATATATAATTATAAACCTCATAGATGTACGGTGTTCCGTTTGGACAATCGTGAATTTTTATTTCGTCCCTACCCGCGATGCACGATAGTACGATAGTGAAACGCGATGGTACGATGACACGATGATGAAAACACGATGGTACGATGGTGAAATCGCGATGTTGCGATGGTACGATGGTGATATAGAGGATATTTGTTTAGTTCAGTGTAAGATCGGTATATATTTCACCGAGTGAGCACCAAAAGGTATATTTCACGAGTGGCGCAGCCACGAGTGAAATATAAACTTTTGGTGTTCACAAGGTGAAATATATTTCGATCTTACACTAAACAAATTTTCTTTTTTTATTACATGCTTTTCGGTGGTTTATAGAAATATATCAGTGATTTAAAACTGGTAATTTCACTGTTTGAAACAGTGAAATTACCACTTTGATAATTTCACTGTTTTGAATTTAAGCCCCTTACGTTGTTTCAGTGAAATACCAGCGTGCACAGAACTGGGTACCAACTTAATGACGTGACGTCATAAATGACGTCACGTTGAATTATTATTTGGCGCGCTTTTCATTCAGTATTAAGTTTAATGTCTTTTTAAAACGTTTCTTTGCATATAATAAAAAGAAAATTTGTTTAGTTTAGTGTAAGATCGAAATATATTTCACCTTGTGAACACCAAAAGTTCATATTTCACTCGTGGCTGCGCCACTCGTGAAATATACCTTTTGGTGCTCACTCGGTGAAATATATTCCGATCTTACACTGAACTAAACAAATATCCTCTATATTATATGCAAAGAAACGTTTTGAAAAGACATTAAACCTAATACTGAATGAAAAGCGCGCCAAATAATAATACAACGTCACGTCATTAAGTTGGTACCCAGTACTGTGCACGCTTGTTTTTCACTGAAACAACGTAAGGGGCTTAAATTCAAAACAGTGAAATTATCAAAGTGGTAATTTCACTGTTTCAAACAGTGAAATTACCAGTTTTATATCACTGATATATTTCTATAAACCACGGAAAAGCATGTAATAAAACGTGATTTTATATCGCGTTTTCACCATCGTACCATTGCGTTTCACCATCGCACCACCGCGCCATCGTGTTTTTACCATCGTACCATCGCGTTTTCACCATCGTGCCATCGCGCTTTCACCATCCTACCATCGTGCTAAATAAATCAAAGCACTGAAAGAGCTGAAGTATACATTGCTTGATAATATAATCCATTTTTGTCATCAAGGCCATGTTGATTTTAACCTACTGACCTAAAAAACAACAGGGGTCATCTTCTGATCAATGTCAATGTCCCTAACAAGTGTCACACAAAGGCTTTTTTCTTCCAAAGTTATTAATGAGACAAGGAAGATGTGTTGTTCCATATGTGTATTGCTAGGCAAGCTGAAAGATGAGCAATAAAGATATCATTTTTTGAAACACTGCAGTATAGAATATTGAAACAGTAATATTGAGTCTTCAGTGAGGCTATCTAATAAAAGGCATGACCTGGCTTGAACTCTATACAAATTCAATTAATTGAATCATCCTACAAGACTTAATTACCAAATTATAGTACATCCTTTTGTAAAGCTTTCCATGTTACAAGTCTATGTACTGTACTTTGATTCATTTATATATATATTCTGGTGTGTTGTATTCATCTCTACACATTTATTTTCAAATTAATTACTTTATCGTTTATTAATAAAAATGAAATCTATAATCAAATCAATTCAAATGTACTGTAATATTTTCATTATTCAATAATTGTTACATATAGTCTTCATATACAACCTTTCTAAGAAATTCATTTATATTGGACAGCAAGTTAACAAGGTTTTTTTCCATAATCAGGCTGTGTTACCAACTTCTTAACTTTAGATGAACCATTCACAATATTTAGCTAAAAACATTTTTTCTATTTTTGGCTACTGTGACCTACAAACTCGGAGCAAAACCTGTCACACACATTCTTACCAAGTTTTGAGACAATTGGGGCAAAAGTGTGACCGGTAGAGTGTTAACAAACTATCGCATTAAATACAGAAAAGAATCTTTCTCTAACTTACACTGGTTGCAAAAAGAAATTTTAATCATTTAGATTTAGCAGAATAGCCCGAATTCCAACACCAGCCAAAGTACCCGTGTTTCGCGGGCAGTGCACTTTAGAAGAATGGCACAATATCACACACCATCGCTTTGATATTGTCGTGTTACCTAAAATATAAATATAATATATACAGTTTTACTTGAAGCTAATTCATCAAAAAAAAAAAAAAAAAAAACGTAAATGACTTTTGTGAACCAATTAATTTTGAACATACTTGCTATTGAAAGCATAGCAAGGAAAATATGTAAGGGGCTTTCGTCTTGATTTCGCCCGTACCCCTTTTATCACCTGACTATATCTTGGAAGACGAGAGAGTCTTCTTAAACAAAATGAATGAACACTATTTAATTATTCTATTTATTTTTGTAGCTACCCAAATTCCCCAACCCCCACTACAGAGTCCAACCCCCACTACAAAGTACCATACCAAAGCCCAGTACTTCTGTCACACAGTATGTCAAATAATGTATATGTAGCATGATCCAAAGTTTTGTTGTTGCCGTGTTAAACGATATTTGGCTAAAATATTTACAAATACAAGAACGCAATTATTTCCCATTTTCATTTCATTTATTTATTTAATTTTACAAATTTAAAAAAGAAAAGAAAGTGTATCCGAATTCCATTTCACTTTCCTTTGCCTTGCAATACGCATCCTGGAAAATAATAAAAAAGATTTTTTAAACAATACCAAGATATCTACATAACTGTATAATTCCATGTTAAAGCAGGAACAAAGACAATGTTGAAATATCTTCTGTCAAATACTAAGAGGATATTTTTTCGTTTGCGTGAAATATGGAATATATTTTCACGAAACATGATAAAATGCCACATATTTTCACGAGCCGGTACGGCGAGTGAAAATATGTGGCATTTTATCATGTTGAGTGAAAATATATACCATATTTCACGAAAAACGAAAAAATAACCTTTTTATTTAATTTCATTATCAAAGAAAATGGTAACGAATCCCCTTGCTTGCTACCAACTGCAATTGTACAGCGCGCAGTAATTTATGCGTAAGCACGCGCTGTTTGGCGCTACATTGTGACGTCATGTAAACAACTCTTTAAACGTCTGTACAGCGTTAATTACTGAATTAAAGATATTGGTGTTCGGATTAATTTTCTTAGTTAGACCATTTTCTATCATGCTAGATAGTTTTCAAAACAATATTCAAGAAAAAGTTGTTTTGTATTCATCAGATTTTTCAAACAAAACGGCGAAAGAAGTCCCTTAAAATAAATATGAGTTTTGACTCCGCCCACTTTCATATTTATATTTCATATTTATTTTTTAAAAATATGAAATATATTTGACTGATATAGCACCATATTTCATGGGTAAAATTAAATAATTATGTATATTGTTTAGAGATATATGAGCCGCGCTATGACAAAACCAACGTAATGCATTTGCGACGGAATCTACTTGTTATAGGGGTTATAGGGATCAGACTGCGCGCGCAGGCTGGTCTGGATCCATGCTGGTCGCATATCAAAGCAAAGCAGTTATCAAATATTTCAAACTTAAGAGCTACAAGACTATACACGTGATATTCGGCTTTAAGAGTGTCAATTATACAATATTATCAAATGTGTCATGATTGCCTACCAGTTTTTTTTATCAACACAATGCACACAACACAACACAACACGACAAACATTACACTACAATTTAATCTTTTTTACTGAAAAAAAGAGAGAAAACAAATTGTGTTAATAAACACTTAAAACGTGTAATGCATACCTTGTCAATTAAACTGTGAAGTTCAATTGCAGCGTAGATAGACAATATACCAAATGAACTCTCGGCGCCGAAGTCCTCAGCATCCACAGTAACGTTTCCATTAGAATCTGCTTCAACGGAGTTAGCCTGGGTTTCTTCATCATTCTCCTCGATTTGAGGATTATCGCTGGGTTCCGAAAGCTGCTTAGGGTAGGTCAAAGTACTTGACCTTGGTACGAATTCCTCTGCCTCTGCTCTTAAGTTAGAAGCAACTGATATTAGGGTGTGTTGATGCGTGCCATCGATAGCCATGACACTTGCCTGATTGTTTCTGGCATTCATTTTCTTCTCTAGACTTTTCTTTTCCCGATATTTCATCCATCTCGCCAATTGCTTCTGAGAATACTTCCTTTTTCGCTTTTTCTTTCCAGTTTCATTATTTCCGTTGTCTGTCACCTCGGGAACTGTCGCGACGTGTTTTTCGTCTGTAATAAGCTGTGTTTCATCCATATTTTAGCACATATCGCTTAAAAATTCTTTGCTGTTTATCTATGTATCACAAACTGGTTGCTAAGACGCAATTACTGCAAAGCGACGTCAATACAAACGTCACGTGACGTCTACAATAACGAATCAAAGTTACCGTAACGTCCGAAGCTATTTGAAGTCAGTCCTAAAAAACAGAAACGTCAATGATGATACTGATTATTTAATTATTATTATTATCATTGTTGTTGTTGAAAAATATTAAGAGGATGTTTTTTCGTTTGAGTGAAATATGGAATATATTTTCACGAAACATGATAAAATGCCACACATTTTCACGAGCCGGGACGGCGAGTGAAAATATGTGGCATTTTATCATGTTGAGTGAAAATATATACCATATTTCACGAAAAACGAAAAAATAACCTTTTTATTTAATTTCATTATCAAAGAAAAATGGTTACAAACCCTATTGCTTGCTACGCAACTGCAATTGTACAGCGCGCAGTAATATATTATTGCGTCTTGTTTTGCACGCGATATTTGGCGCTACATTGTGACGTCACGTAAACAACTGTTTAAACGTCTGTATAGCGTTAATAACTGAATCAAAGATATTGGTGTTCGGATTAATTTTCTTAGTTAGACCATTTTCTATCATTCTAGATAGTTTTCAAAGCAAAATTCAACAAAAGTTGTTTTTTATTTATCAGATTTTTCAAACAAAATGGCGAAAGAAGTCCCTTAAAATAAATATGAGTTTTAACTCCGCCCACTTTCATATTTTTATTTCATATTTATTTTTAAAAAATATGAAATATATTTGACTGATATAGCACCATATTTCATGGATAAAATTAAATAATATACAATATACAAAGCCATATATGTATTTCATAAAGATATGTTAATTCCAAAAATACAAAATGTCCTGGTATTTGTAAACAACCAAACCTGCATTTGCATTTATTTATTTATCATTATTATTTGGCTACTGTGACCTACTTCTGATTTTCAACCAAGGTGATCCATGTTCAAACTCGGAGCAAACCTGTCACACACATTCTTACCAAGTTTTGAGACAATTGGGGCAAAAGTGTGACCAGGAGAGTGTTAACAAACTAAATGACCAGTAGAGTGTTAACAACTAAATGTCATCGTCGGATACACATGGTTGATTTACATTTAACATGACATAACTGATAAATGTAAATGGTTCGGCCGTGGGTATCCGACGATGCTAAATGTGGACAGACCACAGTTGACATAAGATGGATGACCGACATTCAACGATTCTAAAAGCTCACCCTGAGCCAACCTATAAGTTTCATCACTGAAATAAATAATAAGATAATAAAAATAAATACTGCGTAATGATTGAGATGATGTGTAGCCATTATATCAGCAATAAATTATTGCTTTTCTATATAATTATGTTCTTTACTCTATTGAAACTACGTAAGTTTATATAGCATAAATATAAAACGACTATTGTCCAACAACATTGACCTGGCACTCTTGCATTGGACCCTGTAGTCGGTATATTCCGTAAACGTTACGATCTACTTATAAATTGATATGAATGTAAATATCCAATTCTTAAAATCGTGTAAATTAAAATTCCCTCTTAGCGCAGTTGGTAAAGGGCTTTCACTTGAAGAATGTTGACGTAAACTGGTAGGTTCGATACTTATGTTAGCAATTTTTTTTTTTGTTAATTTTAAAATTACCATTCTCTTAAAACTATTGCAAACCTTTTCGATTTACCATCTGTTAAGTATTATTAAATAACTGTCTTTATAGCGTGTATTCGCTAAAGCATGTACGATTGCACAATGCCACAAAGAGAACCGTTGAAAAATATTATTAAAATGAAATAAAAAAAATTATTGTGACATGTGTATAAAAACATGACTTAAAATGTTTCCTAAAACCATGTGTAGAAAACGATTTCAAATTAATTCTTGCAAGTAAATTAAAAAAACAAACATAACGTGGTGTTGGTAAGGAATCGAACCAGAGACCTTCAGATCGGTAGTCCGTCATCTATACCAATACACCACACCTCACTAACGAAAAAAGTTAGCTAAAATATCGATATATAAGATAGATACTGGTCAGTGTTTATTCATATGACCTTTACGAAAGTTAATGAAGTGCCAGGTCAATGTTGTTGGACGTACAATACTAGATTATTTTTACTATAAACAAATAAAAAGTAAAAGTTACGAGGGACGGTCAGAAAATATCCGGACTTTTCATGCTCCTCTCTTTCCACGTGCAGCAATATACACACATTATATATTGCTGAAAACTACATTCATTCGCCAATAACGTGGTCAGTTTATTTTCAATGATAGTTGTGTATACACAGTATTTTGCCCAGGTGTTTCGTTTGTTAGAGGAACAACGCTCTGTAATAAAGTTTCTGGTTGCAGCATCTTTCAGAGGCTTAAAAAAGATTTTCTGATAAATGTGTATCACGTTCAACCTTCTACAACTGGGTTTCTCAGTTTCGTGAAGGCAGAACAAGTGTTTGTGACAGGCCTAGGACTGGGCGGCCAACTGAGGCGGTGACTCCAACAATGGTAGCAAATGTTAAAACTTTTGTCAACAAAAATCGTCGAGTAACTTTGGAGGAGGTAGCCAACAAGTTTAGCATCGGTAAGGCATCGGCACAAAGATTTTACACGAACACCTATAGGCATGAGCAAGGTAAGTGCTAGGTGGGGTTAGACAGCTGTCCGCAGATCGAAAGGCAATCAGAGTAACCAATTCAAAAGAACATTTAAGTCGTTTTAATCGTGAAGGAGATATGTTTTTGAACCGCATTATCACTAAAGATGAGATGTGGGTTCATTATTCCGAACCTGAGACAAAAGCTCAGTCAAAGAAGTGGAAACGAGCTGGTTCCCCACCTCCTAAAAGTTTAAGCTGTCTCCTTCGGCTGGCAAAGTCATGCTTGTTGCCTTTTGGGATTTACGAGGAATGATACTCACTCATTTCATGCCAAAAGGTCAAACTGTCACCGCCAAGTACTATTCTGAAGTAATATTGAAAAATCTCAGAGAAAAGCTGAAGCAAATGCGTCCCAGGTTAGCACAGAAAAATGTCCTCCTTCTTCACGATAACGCCCCCTCCCATACCGCCGCAGCTACAGTGGAGGTTATCAACTCTTACAAATGGCAATTGTTGTCTCACCCTCCTTATAGCCCAGACCTCGCCCCCTGTGACTTTTATTTGTTTCCAGAACTGAAAAAAATGCTTGCTGGGAAGAAATATAAGACCAGGGCGGCTTTGATATCTGCTGTTACACAGTACCTAAAACATAGGTCTACGTCATGGTTCACAGCGGGAATACAAAAGCTCCTACGAAGATGGCAAAAGTGCGTAGACGTAGGTGGAGAATATTTTGAAAAAGAGTAGAAAGATTTTTTTTTAAATGTTGAATGGTTTTCGAGAACGAGTCAAAAGTCCGGATATTTTCCGACTTCCCCTCGTAATTATTTAAACGATTGAAAAGTCTAATTTTATGGGTATTTTTATTCATATACCTTTCTTATCGCGCGTCCAATGTGGTTTTCGGCTTTTTTTCATGTTTTTAACGCTGACTGTTACATAGCCGAAAAAAACACAATTTTTATTTGTTTGGGTCTGGAGTTCAAATCCCAGTTTAGGCAACTCATTTTTTTTTAAATTGTTTAAGTCAAATAAATATTGGATTGAATAACATTGTTGCAAAGTACTGTAACAGTTAAAACACCGGAAACAGCATTGGTGGCACTGTACAAAAACAATACAAATTTATAATCTCACAACCTTCACCTTTCTGACATTCAAACAAATTCAGCGCCTTCTGTGCTTTGATTTCATACTGTATTTATTACAAAAACAGAACTGACATTTTACAAAGATAATAAAATTTATGTAATAGTTATTCATTTAAACGGTTGAAAAATATATTTAGCAGCACTTTATTTAAATATATCTATTTTATCGCAAGCAAAATGTGTTTTTCGGCTTTTCTACGTTTTTGACGCTAGGCAGTAACATAGCCGAAAAACACTTTCATACAATGTTTATTACAAAAATATTACTGATATTTTACATTGCTAACAAATATAATGTTATATTTATTCATTTAGACGGTTGAAAAAATATTTAATAGCTCTTATTTTAAATATGTCTATTTCATCGCCCGTAAAATGTTTTGTTTTTTTTTTTCGTAGACTTTCGTAGACTGGAAAAAAAAGATTGATTTAGAGCATTGACCCTCATGATAAAATGCGCTCAAGTATGGTGTCTTCATGTATATTTTTCTGTCGATCTTTGTTTCCCCTATGTAATCTAAGTGGAGGAAACTCTGTTAATTTTGCTGTAATCAGGGTCTTTCAAATTGAAAGACCCTGCTGTAATGGATAACAAAAATAAATTTTAGTCAAACTTATTTCGCTCGAACTCGGAGGGACTTGCAAATTTGTTCGAGAGATCGGTAGTTATAGAGCCAACCACAGTTTGAAAAATCGGCTATAAATTTGTTACTTGGGGCTTTATGTTTGCAATTTTGCGTTATAATTAGGTAATTATGTATGGCAATGAAAAAGACTTGAAATAAACAGGTCAATACTTGCGAATTGGGCAAATAATTTGAAAATGTTTCTCAAAACTACCAGATTTTAAGCAAGAGGCGATAAAAATTGGACTATGAATTAGTTTTTGACACATAATACAATATGTAAGGCAAGCTTGCACATTAAAGTATAGCACCTATAATTAGCATAATTTAGCACCTATAACTCACTTTTTAACGATGAAAATAACCATTTTTGACGAGTGTTTTTGCAATACATACAATAGCTTTCCGACGAACTCCGTGACAGTTATCACAAGAACTCCTTGACAAGTTATCATAAGAACTCCATCCCTCGTGTAACACTTCCTCCCCCGTGGTTTTGGCCTTTCACCAATAAGCATGTTTGCCTGCGGTTTTATTGATATTAAAGGTATTATATGTGTCATTATTTTGGCACAATCAGATTACAGTTTTATAAATTTCATTGATGCAATCATCACTTAAAGATCCTGTATGTTTTTATTAAGGTTGTAACCAAAAAAAATGTATGTTTTCTAGGCTTAATGAGAGTCTATCCGCCCTTTCAGGCACTGAGAGTACGGACGCCGGATA